GAGTAGTGTGTTAAGATAGGGGACCAGTTACTTAGGAAAATAAAACACTTGAAGCCATTTTTTTGTGTTAATATGTAAATTAGACCAGAACTGTCTTGACATACTTGGTAACATATTTCTACTGGTGTCAGGGCCCATCTAAGTCCCTGAGGTACTGGCACCACCACCTTTACGCGCAAAGTCTAAAAATGCACATCAGTAGGGAATGGTGGCTCACATCTGTAATCTTGGCACTCACTTGAGGCCAAGAGTTTGAGGCGCCAAGTGAGCAACAATGAGGCCACACATTCCATCCTGGTCGACAGAGACTGACTTTTAAAAAAAGTACATCATTCCCTTTTGTTCTCTCATCTCCTACAATCTGGATTCTGCCAAACCCTCCACTTAATATGAAGCCACTGTATTTGGGGAAAAGGACTATCACTAAGAAGTTTTAATAGTCAACCAGTATTTTTAGAATGATAAAGTATAGGAGAGTAAGAGACAAGGATGGTCCAAGATTCTAACCAAATAGTGTTCCAGACAAGGATATACATATAAGTAGAATTAATGGACCAGAGTTCAGATCTGAAGGCTGAGTTTCTGGTGCCTACAAGGCATCATGGGAGACTTCTAATAGACCATTAAATATTGGTTTGGATCAGGCTGGATGCTCACCTAAAGCCTTTGCTAATTAGAAAATAGCATCCTCTGAAGCAGAAGGCAAGAGCGATGCAATACATACCGAAAATTTATATGTAATAACTATTCTAAGGCACTCAAAGTTGTATTTATAAATTATACAAAAATGTCTAAGACTGAGGAAAACATAATTTCATACTGCTATATATGAAATTGTGCTCCAATACAATTTCCTATACAACACTTTTACTTGAGGACATTTTAAAAGCAATAAATTTTGGAAATCCTGGGGAAAAATTCTACCAGCTATATAAGCTATTTAAATACTGTTTATAGAAATTATTAAAGGAAAATCAAAATCATATAAATAGCATAAGTGAAAAGAATTAGACAAAAGTTTAAGAGTGCAATTACTTTTTATTTATTGATAAACTAAAAGTCCATTTTTAGATGTTTCTTTCTCGTGTATGCTTCATTTTGTTTTATTAGTAATCAAAGCCCTGTAAGCAATGGCTTTGCCTAGTCCTCAGACTCTGATCCATCTTCATCTTGACTAATCTGGAAGTAACGAAGTTCATAAGTCTCCTTATCAGAGGCAACCACTCGAAGCCAATCACGAAGATTGTTCTTCTTAAGGTACTTCTTGGTAAGGTATTTCAAGTACCTTTAAAATAAAAAGATGAATGTCATCAACCAATCCGGTCCCTACTATGCAGAGGCTTATTACATGGAAGATGTGCACTTTTTTCCTTGTGTCCCCAGTTCCCTCCAAAATATGTCATCCTTTCACTTATACTAAGCATTGTGCAAGGATGCTATGGATACAAATAAGAAGAAGCTGGCTCTCGATCTCAATAGCAATCAGTTTATGCCTTAAGAAACCCTTATTCTCCCATCTCTCTAAAATAAACTAGTATTCTTCACACTGGGAGATTTTATGTAGTAGAGCAATGGTAGCTTCCTCTTCAACCTTACTGCCCCAGCCAAATTATTCTTAAATCAACCAATATACAATTTCACTCTTCAAATACATTATGCATATGTTAACACCCCCTTCACCACTATCAACCTCCCTAACATCAATCCCACCCTGGATCAACAAGAGACAGCACCTGTCAAGAGAATACCTCATCCTCTTGGCAAACAAACTATGCTCAGTCAGTCTCAGCTTTTCTGAAAATTCTTGCGCCCTCTCTATCTCTACATCCAATACATCAATTACAGAATTGCATTTTATAGTAATTATCTGATTGCCTATAAGACCTTTGAGGACAGCTACTACATTGTAATTTCTTTGAATCCTTAGTCTAAGCCATAAGCTCTTAAGTCTTCATCTTCAGTTTCCATCAAGCTCACCACCCCAGTTTTTGTCAGCCATAATGATCAATGGCTTCCTCTTGCACATCAAACTTGAAGCCCTTCTTCCTATGGTTTTGAAAGCCATAGGAAGAAAAGATCTGCAAAAAGCAGAAAGATCTGCTCCCTAGCTACCCCTCCAATATCATGCATTCCTCCCCAAAATATACTGGCCTACTATTCTTGCATTTCATTTAGGTGAGGCATTTCCTGACCAATTTATCCAAAAACCTTGCAACCCTCTTTATGCCCTCACACAGCACTTATCACTGCTTAAAACTGCATTTCACTTTCTCCCTTCTCCATTAGAGAAGCTCCTTGGTAGTGGCTTATTGGCCTGTTTGGTTCACTGTTGGGTTACCCAGTCCTGCAACAGTGCAACATATTCAAATACAAAAACACTCAACATTAAAGTTTACATACAACTTGGATTTACAGGGTCTATAACTTACTAAATGGGAACTCTGGACATGACTTGCTATATCCTACCAATAAATTACACTTATGAACAGTCAATAAGCAACTGGCTCCCAGTTAATATACTTCCTATTTATGCAGGCCTTTAGTAAGTTCAAATTTATTCTTACATATGAACAGAGCAAATGCTAGGATTACATATTCTATAAAATATTCAACTACTATAACTTCATAAAAATGTACAAAACAAGTACCAACCTTTTAGAGAACTGTTTCTCAGAAACAACTGTGATTTTATTTTTGAAGCGTTCAATGTGAACAACATTCCCAAGATTTCCAGTTTTTCCATTGACTTTAACCTTCTCCCGCAGAAACTGCTCCTATTTTAAAACAGAAGAAATGCAAAACTAGGGAAGAAAACCCTAGATATTCACTAGGGAAGGTACCCTAGGAATAGACCTTAGGTTAATATCAACTTATTATATATTTAAACCATTATCAAGAACTCTACAATTATGATGAACTGAGTAGAATGATACTTACAAAATTTCCAGAATCAAAAATTCCATCTTCTACTGGATGAGTAAGATCCAAATTAAACTTCCAGGTTGACCTCTTGGGTTTCTTGTCTTTCTGCTATATAAAGTTAAAATTAAGATAATGCTGTTAAGATAATTTAGTTTATATACCAAGTCTTAACACAATGTACTATGAAGTTATAGAAACAGTGAATAATCTTTAAAAAAGACCCAACTGGGGTTGATTTAAACCTTGAACCAAGGTCGATTTTGCTTAAGTTGTCAAGAGAAGTTATGGGTTTCATTATTTTCCAGAACACTAATGTTCAATTTTAAATTACTGTGTTTAAATTACTGTGTTTATTATGGGCCAAACACTGCTTTACCACCATCCCCACTGCAGATGGGAACAGGTTAGTACACCTTCTAGCCCAAGCTCAGTTAATGTCAGAGCTACAATTCCATCCACTTATTAGACATAATAAGAATTCAATTCTTATGCTGTTTTACATACATATATTTACATTGATAGATAAGGAAAGATGGGGAGGACCTTCAGTAAAGGTTTTTTTTTTTTTTACATTTAAACAACTTTTCTCTTTTTTTGAGACAGAGTCTCACTGTTGCTGGGGTTAGAGTGCTGTGGCATCAGCCTAGCTTACAGCAACCTCAAACTCCTGGGCTCAAGTGATCCTCCTGCCTCAGCATCCCAAGTAGCTGAGAGTACAGGCATGTGCCACCATGCCAGGCTAATTTTATATATATATTTTTGTTTTGTTTTGTTTTGAGTTGTCCAGCTAATTTCTTTCTTTTTAGTACAGATGCTCCTGCCCAGGCTGGGCTCAATCGATTCTCCTGCCTCCGCCTCCCTGAGTGCTAGGATTACAGGCCTGAGCCACCACGCCCGACCTTTTTCCATATCCAAACATCATATACCAAGATCATATTATATGGCTACATAAGCAAAATATTGTTGCGGCTAGTAACAATGGATATTCAATGTAAACAGACAAATGAGTATGTATCAGAGAATGTCTTCTCCAAATTAGATCCACTCAAATGCATATCAAGTATTGATAGAGTCTGCTTTCTCAGGTAGTCAGGTTAACTGTGCCAAAAAAAAAAAAAAAAAACCTTATCCAAAAACTTATAACTGACAAAAACTTATAACTGGGCCTGACTTATTCTTGGTTTGGGCTTAAGTTAATTTGGGAGATGCAAATAATTCCAGTCCAATGGAACAGATAACCCCAGAGGGTTTATGGCCTCACTTGGTTTTAATCCAGTTTTCTAACCCAGCGATTTTACCCTAACATTTCTTTGAAAGTTGCGAGCATGTACCTAACTTTTCAAATAACATGTTACTGGTTCCCTTATTAATGACTTAAATAAAACATATGAGGCACGGCCTTTTTACATCGTCGTAGAGTCATGACTTCTTCCCAATCAGTCCTAACGTTCTCAGAAACTTCTCCGACCGCGGGAGGCGCGCGCCTCGGAGCTCCCTCCGGCCAGGTAAGCCGTCAGACCGGTCGGATTACCCACCTCTCCGCCCTTCCTGGTGCAAACAGAGCGGCAACAGCGCAATCAGGCGCGAGAGAGTAAAGAGAGGGTTCAAATGCAGTTCCACCGGCCCCGTCCACCGTCGTACCCTTCCCTTTCTGAGTGCCATGAGCACCCATCCTAAATGCACCCACCCAGCTCCAACTCCATCAGGCCGCATGGCAGCAGCCGGGACTCAAGAAAAACAATTCAAGAACCTAACATCTTGGTTGTGTTCCTGACCCGGTTTCCATTCCTCCCCCCCTCCTCCCTTTATCTCGAATGAAACCTCCCCACTCGCCGGACACAAAAGTCATTTCCTCGGCCCCAAAACACTCCCAGTAAGACCACGTTCACTCACAGGCGCCATCTTGAAAGCAGGCCACACGATCAGAGAGGAGTCAGCCGCGGCACGGCGCGTACTTATACCACAGCGTGCTGCGTCACGCGCTGGGAGCGTCAGCGTGCCGCCTCCCGGAAGAGGCGGTGGAGGCCGGTAACCCAGGGAACCGAGGGCGTGGCCCGAGGCGGGTAGGATAAGGGTGCAGGCCGGTTTCCGGCGAGCGCCCGCCAGCGGCCGCAGTTCAAGTGGCTCTCGGTTTTCCACTCCTAGCTACACCGGCTGTTGCCCACCGCCCTCTCTGCGCTTATCCCGCTGCTGCTCCCAGACGCGAGGGATACGGGAGTCATCTTTCACCAGTGACCTGAATCTTGTTTTCAGTCAGCGCAAGGCAGTGTCTCAGGTTGCTTTGGGATCTCCTCTCTTATATTGTAATTATAATCCTCCAGCGTAAAAGTTATAGAAATAACACATAGAAATATGTGTTTTGTCGATGAGCCTTGTTTTCCCTTGCCTCCCCTCCTGTCTCGTCCCCTCCTCTGCCCTGGCCCCTTTTCTGTTATAGAGACGCCAAGATGTGAAAGTGAGCTTTGTTTTCTAAATACCTATTGAGGGAAATCAGTGTTGAGGGAAATCAGGGAGACAAAATAAACTACCTCCTCGGAAAAAAATATCTTTCTAAGAGAAAAACACGTAGTGCTTGCTTCTTGTTCACGTATTTGGGTATAATCAATTTTATCATGGAGTTAACTCCAGGTCTCCTAACTGCCATCCAAAATGCCTTCCAGTTAAAAGTCAACGAATATATTTGCTGTGACTTAACAACCAACCATATGCACAAGGCATACAAGGGTGGACATGTCTTGATGACAAAAGGAAAAAATATTAATAGCTTTTGAGCTTTGAAGGATTGTAAACTGAAGTCAGATCAGAAAAGTGGCATGCCTCCCAGCATTTAGCAGTAATTCCTGGGGATGAAACTATGGTACTTAAGGGCTGGGATAGGGAATGAAGTGGACTCTTGTTGTTAATTTGGCGAATGACACTAGAAAGTGATGATGGTGTATGTCCTGTGTGCCAGCAATTAGTTATTGTAGAAAATATGCTTTAGTAAAGCATACAATTATTAGTGCCTGAAGAGAGGCACTGAATTCCTCAAAGAAATCCATGTCAACCAGAGATTTTTTTGTTTGCCTCAAAAATCATGGTATTATAATTTCTTTTCCAAACATTAAGAGGAGGGGAAGAAATCGGCATGTCCTCCTTAGGGGCTGCCCAGGCTACAGAGCAGAACTGATTCTTGTGCTATTGGATATTTTGAAAATAAACTATTAATTGAGGTACTTATTATTTTGTTTTCCTTGTCTTTAGCAGCCTTCCATGTGATGACAATAAACTCCTTAAACACTGTTAAGCTATTTTTACAAAGGGGTTATAAGAACAACATGTGCTTCAAAGTACTAGTAATCCCAAAATAACTGGTTAGACACTGTAACAGGGAGAAAAGATTTCTCCCAATTAGAAAACAAAACAAAAACTTAAGAAAAATATTAACCAGAAATGTGTCAATGGAAAGAGTGCTGTTAAATATCTTAATTATTATCTAAATTAAATATCTTAATTCTTCCCGAACTATTTACATACACACAGAGAAAATATATTAACACAATGTTAGTCATTACCCCAGTTGTTTTTTTTTTATTTTGACAGCTATTTCTAAAACATATAAAAACAATAAGAGCCAAGACAATTTCGATCAATGAAGGGAAGTATGCCTTTCCAGCTATTTGAATATAAGGTAATATATGATTGATATATATATGTCATAAACTTCAGTCATTGGATTTACATGATACTGAAGCTTGAGTAGATAGATCAGTAAAACAAAGAGTACAGAAGAACAACATGACAGATTAAATTCTACAGAAAAACTCCTCCACATGTAGCCATCTTAAAAATGGCTAAAATATGTTACAAATAATTTTTATTGTATGGTTAATCTAGTGGAAAAGTAAAAGAATTTTTTGGAGGCAGAAATGACAAGCCATGCTCATATTTGTTTCGAGCTTGAATTAGCTCTGCCCAAATAGCATGAAAAATATCCAAACTAAAAATGTAGTTTAAAGTATGCTTGGATTGTTTATGCCAGGCAGAAGCAAATGCTCTCTGGAGAAATGCATTTTAAATCCAGGCACAAAAAAATTCCCTGAGATAAACTTCCAGAAATATGAACTGACAATTTTTTTTTAATTTTTATTTTTTATTTATTTATTTAATTTTTGAGACAGAGTCACATTGTTGCCCAGGCTAGAGCGAGTGCCGTGGCATCAGCCTAGCTTACAGCAACCTCAAACTCCTGGACTCAAGCAGTACTCCTGCCTCAGCCTTCCAAGTAGCTGGGACTACAGGCATGCGCCACCATGCCTGGCTAATTTTTTCTATATAATTTGGCCAATTTCTTTCTATTTATAGTAGAGACGGGGTCTCGCTCTTGCTTAGGCTGGTTTCAAACTCCTGACCTTGAGCAATCTGCCTGCCTCAGCCTCCTAGAGTGGTAGGATTACAGGCATGAGCCACCACGCTCGGCCGACAATTTTTTTAAATCACTAAATATACAGGAAAACAAACCACTATGCATGAAAATCAACCCTCAAAACCTATGAAATCAGACCCACAAAGACTGCGTTTATTGGAATAATAAGATGCAGAATATAAAGTAAGTATTTTTAATATGTGTAAGAGCTAAATGTATTTAAGATATGATAAGGGAGCCAAGGACATTTGAAATTGATCAGATTTTTTTTTAAATAGAGCAAAAAAGAACTTGCAGAAATTAAAAATAGAAAAACTGATATTAGAAAAACTTCAACCAGAGAATCAGAACCTGCAAAAAGAAAAGAAAAAGAAAAACTGAGTGAATTTAACAGAGAAGACACAGCTGAAGAGAAAAATCAATGAATGTGTAATTACTTAAAATGCAACATAAAAAAGTGAAAAGATAGAGGATATAAAAGGTAGGTTAAGAGACAAGGGTGTTCCGGTTATGTCAACTAGGAGATCCAGAAGGATATAATAGAGATTATGGGGAAAAGACAAAATTTAGAGAGATGATGTCTGAATTCTCGGGTTCAGGAAATCCCAAGCAGGATAATTTAAGAGGAATGCACACCTAGACACAATGTAGTGAAACTTCAAAACACAATGACAAAATTATTTCAAAAGCATCCAGAGAGGGAAAAGACAAAATATCTACTAAAGAAGTTATGCTAACAGCTGACTTCACATCTGCGACAATGGAAGATGGAAGCCAGGGGGCAAGGGAATATTTACTTCCAAGTGCTGAGAGGACACAATTGTCTACCTAGAGCTACAAAGTATAAAACTATCTTTACTAAATGATCTTTTTTTAATTTTTTTGTTTCTTTTGTATTTATTCATCCTCCTAGTGATCCTTTATAAATGCCTTTTTAAATACACTTAATACATTTTAAATACATTTAAGACATTTTTAGACCACCTAAACTGAAAGTTTTTTAAAAATAGATTCTCAGTAGAGGAATTCTGAAAGATATACTTTAGGAGAAAGGAAAATCTTCCTAGAAAGAAGGCCTATATGTCAAAAGAAATGATGAGCAGAGAAAATGGCTAACTTGTGTGCAAATCTAAACAAACACCTGACTGGATACAACAGTAATAGTCATGTGGGCTAGGGTGTTGTTAATGTTCCATTTCTTCATATTGGCTTACATGGCTATGTTTAGTTTGTGAAAACTCATGAAGCTTTAAATTATAATCTGTTCATTTTTCTATGTATATGTTACACTTCAATTAAAAATTATAAGATAGTATAAATTACCACATGCCAAAATATGAACAAATTAGATGAAATGAAGAAATTCCTAGAAAAATACAACTTAACAGAACTCACACAAGAAGAAATAGAATATCTATTTCTAGATAGATATTCTATCACAAGATAGTCTATCTCTAGATAGACTAGAGAGCAAAAGATATCTATATCTTTTCAATAAATTGTATTTGTGATTAAAACCTGCCCACAAGAGCAACAACACTCAGGTAGCTTCACTAGTAAAGTCTGCCAGTTGAGGAAGAAATAATGCCAATTGTAACAGTTTTCTGCCCAAATCCACATACTGTCAGTTTATCCAGAGAACATTTATCCACAGTTTTCTGCCCCCCACCCGGTTAAATGGTTATCCTTGGGAAGTTAACTTTCTTGCATTTCCAGGTTGTAAATGTATGAGTGAGTATTGGTAAGGAGGTTCCCACAAGTGTCCCATGCCTCATGTCAGAGAAACCATGAGATAGAAGGTAAAAAATACGTGGGAGGTGCTGTTAAGTTACTCCTGCACAAAACCGGTTGCTGCTCCCTTATTTCTTTTGAGTGGACAGTTGAGAAATGCATTTTACATCACTGTGTGAAAGATCCCAGAAGGATTAAGCTTCAGTTGTCCCCAGTATATTTCTATTTGCTTTCACTTCTTCCCAGTTTTACTCTTTCTAGTTTCTTCTGTTACTGAGATCACTTCCTAGATAAAGCAACTGCAGGCAGCCAACACACCAAGACACCAATTTTACACAAACTCTGTCAGCTACTAGAAAATTAGAGACAGTCAACTTATTTTAAGAGATGAGCATAACCTTGATACTAAAACCTGACAGGGACATTTTGAGAAAGAAAAATTATAGTCCAATCTCATTTGTAAATATGTAAAATATATATACTATAGTCAAAGATAAATTGCTAGAAAACCATACCCAACAATCTGTCATGCAGCAAGTTGAGCAGTAATGTCATTATTTGTACTTGATATAAATGGATGTGTACAAAATTCAAAATAACCTATAGATAAATTATTAGAATTATTATGTGAACATGTCAAGATTGCTGTATACAAAGTTCATATACAAAAATAAATTGCATATCTATTAACCACAATGAATTAGAAAATGGAATTTGAAGACGATATCATTTTTAATACCATAAAATATATAAAATACCTAAGGAAAAAAATAACAAAAGATGTACAAGACCACTATGCAGAACTATAAAATATAATTGAGAGAAATTAAAGAAGACCAAATAAATAGAAGGACATTCAGTGTTTTGGAATTGGAAGACCCAATAAAATAAAGATGTCATTTCTCTCAAAACTAAATTATAGATTCAGTATGATCTCAAACAATAGCTTAACAGGTGTTCTCTCTCTCTCTCTCTCTCTCTCTCTCTCTCTCTCTCTCTCTCTCTCTCTCTCTCTCTCTCTCTCTCTCTCTCTCTCTCTCTCCGTCCCCCTCCCTGTCTCTCTCCCTCTCTGTCTCACACAAACCAATTTGAAAATTTGTATGGAAGCACAAATGTACCAGAATAGCAAGAATGTATTT